GTCCGTCCTCTTCCTCCACCGTCACATTCGTCCTCTTCCTCCACCGTCACATTCGTCCTCTTCCTCCATAGTCCAGTCTGTCCTCTTCATCGTCACTTCTGTCCTCTTCATCGTCACGTCCGTCCTCTTCCTCCATAGTCACTTCCGTCCTCTTCCTCCACCGTCACTTCTGTCCTCTTCCTCCATAGTCACGTCTGTCCTCTTCATCGTCACGTCTGTCCTCTTCATCGTCACGTCCGTCCTCTTCCTCCATCGTCACATCCGTCCTCTTCCTCCATTGTCACATCCGTCCTCTTCCTCCACCGTCACATTTGTCCTCTTCCTCCATAGTCAAGTCTGTCCTCTTCATCGTCACTTCTGTCCTCTTCATCGTCACGTCCGTCCTCTTCCTCCATAGTCACTTCCGTCCTCTTCCTCCACTGTCACATTTGTCCTCTTCCTCCATAGTCACGTCTGTCCTCTTCATAGTCACGTCCGTCCTCTTCCTCCATAGTCACATCTGTCCTCTTCCTCCACCGGCACGTTCGTCCTCTTCCTCCACCGTCACGTTCGTCCTCTTTCTCCATAGTCACGTCTGTCCTCTTCATCGTCACATCTGTCCTCTTCCTCCATCGTAACGTCTGTCCTCTTCCTCCATCATCACGTCCGTCCTCTTCCTCCACCGTCACGTCCGTCCTCTTCCTCCACCGTCACGTCCGTCCTCTTCCTCCACAGTCACGTCCGTCCTCTTCCTCCACAGTCACGTCCGTCCTCTTCCTCCACAGTCACGTCTGTCCTCTTCATCGTCACGTCTGTCCTCTTCCTCCATAGTCACGTCTGTCCCACTTCCTCCACCGTCACGTTCGTCCTCTTCCTCCACCGTCACATTCGTCCTCTTCCTCCACCATCACGTTCGTCCTCTTCCTCCACCGTCACGTTCGTCCCCTTCCTCCATATTCACGTCCGTCCTCTTCCTCCCACCGTCACGCCCGTCCTCTTCTTCTCCATAGTCACGTCTGTCCTCTTCCTCCACCATCACATTTGTCCTCTTCCTCCATAGTCACGTCTGTCCTCTTCATCGTCACGTCCGTCCTCTTCCTCCATAGTCCCGTCTGTCCTCTTCCATCATCACATTCGTCCTCTTCCTCCATAATCACGTCTGTCCTCTTCATCGTCACATCTGTCCTCTTCCTCCATAATCACGTCTGTCCTCTTCATCGTCACATCTGTCCTCTTCCTCCATCATCACGTCCATCCTCTTCCTCCACTGTCACGTTCGTCCTCGTCCTCTTCCTCCATAGTAATGTCTGTCCTCTTCATCGTCACGTCTGTCCTCTTCCTCCACCATCACTCCCGTCCTCTTCCTCCACAGTCATGTCCGTCCTCTTCCTCCACCGTCATGCCCGTCTTGTTCCTCCACTGTCACGCCTGTCCTCTTCCTCCACCGTCACGTTCGTCCTCTTCCTCCATAGTAATGTCTGTCCTCTTCATCGTCACGTCTGTCCTCTTCCTCCACCATCACTCCCGTCCTCTTCCTCCACAGTCATGTCCGTCCTCTTCCTCCACCGTCATGCCCGTCTTGTTCCTCCACTGTCACGCCTGTCCTCTTCCTCCACCGTCACATTCGTCTTCTTCCTCCATAGTCACGTCTGTCCTGTTCATCGTCACATCTGTCCTCTTCCTCCACCGTCACGCCCGTCCTCTTCCACCACCGTCACGCCCGTCCTCTTTCTCCACCGTCACGCCCGTCCTCTTTCTCCACCGTCACGCCCGTCCTCTTTCTCCACCGTCACGTCCGTCCTCTTCCTCGATCGTCACATCCGTCCTCTTCCTTCACCGTCACATTCGTCCTCTTCCTCCATAGTCACGTCTGTCCTCTTCCTCCATTGTCACGTCCGTCCTCTTCCTCCATCGTCACATCCGTCCTCTTCCTCCATCGTCACATCCGTCCTCTACCGTCACGTTCGTCCTCTTCCTCCATCGTCGCGTCCGTCCTCTTCCTCCATCGTCGCGTCCGTCCTCTTCCTCCATCGTCGCGTCCGTCCTCTTCCTCCATCGTCGCGTCCGTCCTCTTCTTCCATCGTCGCATCCATCCTCTTCCTCCATCGTCGCTCTAACATCTTTTGTCTCCAGCAGATGATGACACGCTCGGGTAGAAGTTTCAGCTACCATAATATAATCAATGATAATAAATATTGTGAACTAGCTGAGGAAAATGGATGTGCTACCCGTGCTGATAAAATCATAGTCAAAGTACATAGTACAAAGTGCACTTGCAGCGTTTCTCGGCTGTTAATTTCAAAGCTAGGAGTTGCTGTGTGCAGCCTCCTTGACACAGGGCCTACCATACCATCCACCCCTGTAGGGCCATGTATGGCCACATGGAGACCACAGGTGTTCCTCTGCTTTTAGAGGGTTTAAAGGGAATCTCTACTAGTCTATGAGCTGTAATGATCAGCAAAGCCGCTATATTGTCTGTCTACAGGATCACGTGATCAAAACCATCAGGATGGAGGAGGACCCGAGTCACATGACTGAGAGGATACTAAACCTCACCCTGGAGATCATCTACCTGCTGACCGGAGAGGTGAGGAGGATTCTGGGAGGTCACATGACATCACTCTCATCTCTATTAATAAAACACAGACCTGACCGGAGAGGTGAGGAGGATTCTGGGAGTCTAACATGATATTCCTATTGGTTCCCCAATACAGAGATTTCCTCTTCTGAAGTCAGGTCATCATATGACCATCACAGTGCCTCCATGTGACTCCCTAAACCCTGAGAGACACAACATGCAGAAGATTCTAGAAGTCACCAAGAAGATGATGGAGCTGCTGACAGGAGAGGTATGCGGTGCCGGGAATTCTGGGACATTCTCCAGTAACAGACAAGGGATGTGTCTGGATGGTGACTGTATCATTGTGTGTGTCAGGTTCCTATAAGGTGTCAGGGTGTCACTGTCTATTTCTCCATGGAGGAGTGGGAGTATTTAGAAGGACACAAGGATCCTCTACAAGGACGTCATGATGGACAATCAGCCGCCCCTCACATCACCGGGTAAGAGGAGACTTTATTGGAAAGGAGCGAGCAGTACGGAGGATCCACCTAGATCCCCCATCATCTGATAAACACATAGAAACAATGGATTCAGTCAGTGTGTGTGTTTCCTACAGATGGATCCAGTCATGGGAACCCACCAGAGAGATGTCCCCGTCCTCATCCACACAGGGGTCACACCATCCCCACCATCATCAGAGAGATGGGAACCCACCAGAGAGATGTCCCCGTCCTATGTATTCCCGGGATTCCACACAGGAAGGTCACACCATCCCTCACCATCATCAAATAGATGGAGCCAGTCATGGGAACCCACCAGAGAGATGTCCCTGTCCTCTGAATTCCCGGGATTCCACACAGGTAGGTCACACTGTCCCTCATCATCATCAGGTAGGTGGGACTGAGTATGTAGACCTTAAACTGCGAGAGGACATTCTTCTATGTAATCTCTTGATGTATTCTATCATCTTTGGGGTTTAGTTTGAAGAACTGAAAGACATCAAAGTTGAGGTTAAAGCAGAAGAAGAGGAGACGTTGGTGAGTGGAGATCAGCAGTCTATGGAGGAGGAGGAGATGATTCTGAAAAGGAAAGAGGAGGAATCTTCTCAACGTGTGGACACATGTAAGTAATAAACAGTTCACATTTTATTTTACGTCTAAGATGATAAAATATGCCTGTACATTGTTAGATGGGTTGAAAATGACAAATATTGAGTTTGTTCACCTCAAAGAGAAAAAAAAAAAAACACAAACCTACAGCAGATCCAGTGGAAGGCAGCAAACCCATATAGAGCTTGGCCCAATTTGCTCCAATCGGCATTCCTTATTGACCTAAAACGTAAAGTTTTGGCTGTGTTGTATCCTTTATCTGGTTTGTGTTCATAGTTTGGTGTTACGATTGCACCCAATTCCAGGCCGGAGCTCCGAGGAATCTCTTAGTTTTGGACCGACATATATGACTCCTGAATGTAAGAAGAGTAAAATATTTTTAATTTTTATTTCTTACAGATGGATGCTTTGTTCTTAAGACCTCGGAGGGAGATCCGATGTTGTCTCCAGATTTCAAGGCAGAAGATAATGACATCACACATTGTTCTCCAGGAGAAGATCCCATTACTCCGCCTACACATCACAGACCATCCCATCTGGAGGGATCAATGGATCATTCGAAGCTTGAGGAATCTTCTGAACAATCCCATACTATGACTTCAGATGTCCATCTAAGATCAATGATCCTTCAAAGCTTGAGGAATCTTCTGAACAATTCCATACTATGACTTCAGATGTCCTGGAGGGATCAATGGAGGGATCATAATGGATCTAAGATCTTCTAAAGCCGAGGAATCTTCTGAACAATCCCATACTATGACTTCATGGATCCTTCTAATGTCCATCTAAGATCAATGGATCCCTCGAAACTTGAGGAATCTTCTGATAAATCCCATACTATGTCTTCATATAGCCATCTGAGATCTCACGGTGCTGATCAATCAACACCTTCATCCAATCCCAAGGAGTCTTCCTTATGTGGTGGAAGTAATGCAGTAGAACCTTCATTGTCTTCTTTAGTTTTTAATAAATCTTACAGTAAAAACAAAGGACAACCGAAACAGCAGAGAGGTCCCTCAGGTGGGCGTCTTTTTTCATGCTCCGAGTGTGGGAAATGTTTCACTACGAAACAAAACCTTCTTATACATCAGAGAATTCACACAGGGGAGCGTCCTTTTTCTTGCACAGAGTGCGGAAAATGTTTTAGCAGGAAGGGAGAACTTTTAAGACACCAGAAAATTCACACCGGCGAGCGTCCTTTTTTATGCTCAGAGTGCGGGAAGTGTTTCACTAAGAAAGAACACCTTCTCATACACCAGAGGAGTCACACGGGCGAGCGTCCTTTTTCATGTTCGGAGTGCGGGAAATGTTTCATTCAGCAACAACACCTTCATACGCACCTGAAAAGCCACATGGGTGAGCGTCCTTTTTCATGTTCAGAGTGCGGGAAATGTTTCAGTAAGAAAGAACACCTTCTCGTGCACCAGAGAATTCACACAGGCGAACGCCCTTTTTCGTGTTCAGAGTGCGGGAAAAGTTTCACTCAGAAACATTACCTTCTTGCACACCAGAGGAGCCACACAGGCGAGCGTCCTTTTTCATGTTCAGCGTGCGGGAAGTGTTTCGTTCAGCAACAGCACCTTCTCAGGCATCGGAGAATTCACACGGGCGAGCGTCCTTTTTCGTGTTCAGAGTGCGGGAAATGTTTCATTTTCAATGCCGACCTTCTCAAACACCAGAGAAGACACACGGGGCGAGCGTCCTTTCTCCTGTACAGAATGCGGGAAATGTTTCAACGAGAGGGGGAATCTTCTTAAGCACCAAAGAGTCCACACGGGCGAGCGTCCTTTCTCGTGTTCAGAGTGCGGGAAATGTTTCTCGCTCCAAGGGAATCTAATCAGACATCAGGTAACTCACAGCAACTGATGCTGAGTCTGGAAAGGGGTGCATCCTGGGAAAGGTTTCCTTTCAGTTACAGATGGAGTCTCTTATTGGCTTCTTCTATTTCTTGAAGACCACCGTGGTGAGATCTGACTGCTAAAATTGGCTCCTTTCCTTTCCTCCTTTTCCAGTTTCTACAATAAATGAAAATTCCAGCAGGAAGAATGGAAGTCCATCATAATAGGCCCAGCAGATATGAGGACCCCGACCAAGAGATACATTGGGTACCAGGGAACCTTTGTTACCACCCCTCACTACCACCTCCCAAGCTTATGAACCTCTTCCATTGCCCAGATAAATTCTAATGGTGCTGCATTGAACTTGGGGGTTCAATAAATACTGGATCATTCAGGGGTGTCGTTCGATAGTTATAGGTGGGCGGGAATTACATGACAGTATTATGGTCCTCTAAACCAGTGGTCTGCAAACTGAGGCCCAGGGGCCAGATGAGGCCCTTTTCTTGCTTTTATTTGGCCCTTTGGGCACTATTTCATTCCTTGACACCAACAAAGGGGCACAATCCCTACCAATAACATCAACGCTGGGGCTCAGTTCCTCCTAATGACACCAACAATAGAGCCCAATGACAGCAATGGTGGGCTACAATACCTCCCAGTGACATCAACATGGGGGCCCTATTCCTCCCACTGATACAAATAATGGGGTCCAATGATTCCATTGATGGGAACAATTCCTACCCATGACACCAACGATGGGGCACAGTTCCTCCTAATGATGGGGCATTATTCCTCCCACTAACACCAGTGATGGGACACTATTCCTACAAAAATGACACCAACGATGGAGCACAGTTCCTCCTAATGACACCAACAATGGGGCCCAATGACACCAATAATGGGCACAATTCCTCCTAATGATGGGGCACAATTTCTACCAATGATGGAGCACAGTTCATCCTATTGACACCAACAACGGGGCCCATTCCTCCCCATTAGACCAACAATGGGGCACAATTCCTACCAATGACACCAATGATGGAGCACAGTTCCTCCCACTGACACCAACAATGGGGCCCAATGACACCAATGTTGGGGCACAATTCCTCTCAATGATGGAGCACAATTCCTCCCCATTACACCAACGATGGGGCACAATTCCTTCCCATGACACCGACGATGGGGCACAGTTCTCCCTGTTGACACCAACAATGGAGCCCAATGACACCAGTGATGGGGCACAATTCCTCTCAATGATGGAGCACAATTCCTCCTCATTACACCAATGATGGGGCACAATTCCTTCCCATGACACCGATGATGGGGCACAGTTCTCCCTGTTGACACCAACAATGGGGCCCAATGACACCAATGTTGGGGCACAATTCCTCTCAATGATGGAGCACAGTTCCTCCCGCTGACACCAACAATGGGGCCCAATGGCACCAATGTTGGGGCACAATTCCTCTCAATGATGGAGCACAATTCCTCCCAATGACAATAATGATGGGGCACTATTTCTACCAATGACACCAACGATGGAGCACAGTTCCTCCTGTTGACATCAACAATAGGACCCAATGATTGGGTACAATTCCTCCCAGTGACAAAAACAATGGGGCACAATTCCTACCAATGACATCAATGATGGGGCACAGTTCCTCCCACTGATACTAACAATGGGGCCCAATGACACCAATGATGGGGTACAATTCCTTCTCAATGACATAAATGATGGAGCAAAGTTCAACCCGTTGACACCAACAATGGGGCCCAAAGATACCAATGATGGGGCCCAATTCCTCCCCATGACACCAACGATGGGGCCCAATGACACCAATGGTGGGGCACAATTCCTCCCAATGACACAAATCATGACGCAAAATTTCTCTCACTGACACCAAAGATGGGGCATTGTTTACTCCAACTGATGCAGGGACATTGTCTACGCCCGATGGTCACAGTCCAACCCCCCTAAACTCTAAAGGACAGTAAGCTGGCCCTTCGTTTAGAATGTTTGGGGACCCCTGCTCTAAACAAACAGCCACAGGTCAGTAGGGATTGGTAGCAAAGATACGGAAGGCAGCAGGAGTGACAAGAGCCAGATATCAGCTGGGGAGGGCACAATCATCTGGCAAACCAGAAGTGCAGAGACACAGCTTAAATCAGGAAGTCCATGGGAGGAGCAAAGAGTTCAAGGTTCACCAGAAACAAGATTCAAGACCAGATTGTCCAAGGAATTGTCCAGAGGGCTATCCAGCATCTCAGGTGGCTCAGCAAGAAGAGATACTGCCAGGCACAGCAGAGGTCGCAGGTTCATATCTGGGTCCTGACACCTATACAAGCTTCAGTTGGGGGGTTTGGCAAAAATATTGGATCTTTCAGGGGCTGGGTTTGATGAACAGCGCTGGCTTGGTCGCACCCTCACACAGCCGGAATTCTAGAACTAAACTGTGCTAATATATGACCATACACGGGGGGGGGAAGGGCAATCTTGCCAATACAAAGACAACCGTCCCAGAACATGGGCAATAAACAAGCAATGGTGGCCATATATAGGCAAGAACACGAAGGAACGATGGCTGGAGAATTGTCTTTTATGTTGGTGTGCTACTGAATGAAGAGATGATCTCAAATACATCCACCTACAGCAAGTGATCATCCTTCACCAATGATCCTTTTCATCGATAGCTATTGGCTGTGGAACGTCATAACTCTTTATTGGCTTTATTGAAGGTGGCCCAGACAATTCTGCCATGGAAGGTGGCCCGGCCAATTCTGCCACGGAAGGTGGCCCGGCCAATTCTGCCACGGAAGGTGGCCCGGCCAATTCTGCCACGGAAGATGGTCCAGCCAATTTATATTGATCGATACATTGTATATAATTTTTTTCACATCAGTTATACAAGATATGATTTCGATTTGAAGTTTGTATCATTGTAAATTAATCAGATATTCTGTTTTTTTTAAATAAAAAAAGAAAACCAAACACTTTACAAAATTCTGTTCTGAGTCCTTTTTTTTTTTTTTTTTTTTTTTTTTTTTTAAAGAAACGATCGATTGAGTATGGATTGGGTTGTGCTGTGTGCATAGAGAGTCATCCATTGATGATGAGGCAGAGATAACATACACTGTATTGGCAAAAATATTGGGCCGTCGGCCTTTCCACAGACATGACCTGTAATGACCTCCCAGTCTTAGTCCGTAGGGTTCAATATTGAGTTGGCCCCGCCCTTTGCAGCTATAACAGCTTCAACTCTTCTGGGAAGGCTCCATCGTCATGTCCATACTCTTCCTCCATCATCATGTCCATACTCTCCCTCCATCATCATGTCCATACTCTCCTCCATCATGTCCATACTCTTCCTCCATCGTCCTGTCCATACTCTTCCTCCATCGTCCTGTCCATACTCTTCCTCCATCGTCATGTCCATACTCTTCCTCCATCCTCATGTCCATACTCTTCCTCCATCCTCATGTCCATACTCTTCCTCCATTGACATTGTGATACGCTATTTTGCCAAAAGTACTGGGCTGCCGGCCTTTCCACGCACATGACCTTCAATGGCCCCCCAGTCTTAGTCCATAGGGTTCAATATTGAGTTGGCCCCACCCTTTCCGCACACATGACCTTTAATGGCCCCCCAGTCTTAGTCCGTAGGGTTCAATATTGAGTTGGCTCCGCCCTTTTGCAGTTATAACAGCTTCAACTCTTCTGGGAAGGCCATCCACAAGGTTTAGGAGGGTGTCTATGGGAAGGTTGGACCATTCTTCCAGAAGCACATTTGTCAGGTCAGGCAGTGATGTCGGGGGAGGAGGCCTGGCTCTCAGTCTCTGCTCTAATTCATCCCAAAGGTGTTCTATGGGGTTGAGGTCAGGACTCTGTGCAGGCCAGTCAAGTTCCTCCACCCCAAACTGGCTCCTCCATGTCTTTATGGACCTTGCTTTGTGCATTGGTGGGCAGTTATGTTGGAACAAGAAGGGGCCATTGCCAAACTCCTCCCACAAAGTTGTCCAAAATGTTGCCTTAGGTTGCCAAGCCCACCCCCTGAAAAACAACCCTGCACCATAATCCACCCTCCACCAAACTTTACACTTGGCACCATGCAGTCAGGCAAGTACCGTTCTCCTGGCCACCGTCAAACCGTCAAGACAAGACAGAGAAGCGTGATTGGTCACTCCAGAGAACACGTCCCCCCTGCGCTAGAGTCCAGTGGCGGCGTGCTTTACACCACAGCATCCCACGCTTTGCATTGCACTTGGTGATGGAAGGCTTGGATGCAGCTGCTCGGCCATGGAAACCCATTCCATGAAGCTCTCTACACACTGTTGTTGGGCTCATCTGAAGGCCACACCAAGTTTGGAGGTCTTCAGCTATTGACTCTGCAGACAGTTGGTGACTTCTGAGCACTGTGCTCGGCCATGGAAACCTAATAAGTGAGTTATTTTCATTTGAGCCCAATCAGATTTGAAGATCCCAGTCACATGGTTAAATACATGTTTAATAAACATAAAAAAATAAACATAAATAATTCTTCCACTTGTATTAAAGCTTTGTGAATTGAGCCTATGAAGATGTATTTCAGTTGTGCTCTTTTCATTCTTTAATTTAACATTTATAACTACTAAAATTCTATCGAATTGTTGCTTTTTATTTAATATGTTATCTTCTGGATGTGATGTGAGGTTTAATTTTGTGTGTGTAATCATCGATGTACCCGAATCGAAGGATGGACCCCGGGGCCCAGGGCAACATGATGGAACGTAACGTAGACCGCAGTATTCATATTCAACACAAGGCGGTGATCTCATGTATTGCCAGTGGAACACAACAACCAGGAAGTGATGTCAAGGACAGACAGGAAGTGATGGCAGGTATAAATAGGAAGTTCCGGGTGAGAGGTGAGTCAGGAGGAAGTAGAGAGGAGACATTGGTGGAAGTGGCAGCAGAGGAGGTAATAGGATCTAATTTTTATATTTACACCCAGTAACCCCCCCCGTCATGTCCGT